AAGAAGAAGAAAGAAAGAAAGAAAGAAAGAAAGAAAGAAAGAAAGAAAGAAAGAAAGGAAAGGAAAGGAAAGGAAAGGAAAGGAAAGGAAAGGAAAGGAAAGGAAAGGAAAAAGAGAAAGAAAGAAAAGAAACTGGTCTCGTAGCTCAATAGACCTACACTCATGTGTGTGTCTGTACAACTCTGGCCGAATCCCTCTGCAGAAACCTTGCCATTTGCCAAGCAAGTGAACGTGTGCTGTCTCGATTCATTCTCCGGGTCTGGGGGCTCACCCTGACTGCTCTGCCTGGCCCTGGGCAGGATGATGGGTGTGCCCGCTTGTAAACCCGATGCCCGGGCCCCTCCTTTGCCAGGATGTCTTTCAGCGACTTCCTGAGGCAGTACTCCCGCCTGGAGATCTGCAACCTGACTCCGGACACGCTCACAGTCGACAGCTACAAGAAGTGGAAGCTCACCAAGATGGACGGGAACTGGAGGCGGGGCTCCACCGCGGGTAGGCTGCCGGAACTACCCGAGTAAGGCCCCCCCCACCCTCCCCGACGGGCACATCGCAGCCAGCGGGCCCCTGGTGGCAGCTCCGGCCCCTGGGACCCTCTGCCTTCCTGTCCCTGCGTCTCCGTCGCGACACCCTTCCCTGTTTTCTCAGCCCCATCACCCCCTGCACTCACCTGCCTCCTGTCCAGGCTGGGCCCAAGCCTGGCTGTTTCTGTGATGCCCTTGCCACGCCCTGGAGTCCCTGTGCCATGGCCTCCCTCCACACCCGCCGAGGCAGCACTCAATTCCACCTCGTGCTGTGGGCATCTTTAAAGATACAATGTTTTTATTGATTTAGAGAGGAAGGGAGGAGAGAGGTAGAAACATCAATGGGCTGCCTCCTGCACGCCCCCTACTGGGGATGGAGCCCACACCCCAGGCATGTGCCCTGACCGGGAATCGAACCAGTGACCTCTTGGTGCAAGAGGCGATGCTTAACCACTGAGCCACACCGGCCGGGCTGGGGGCCTCTTTATCCACCAGCCCTGCTGGGAGCCTCATCCCTGGGCATGTCCAGACCCTAGTTGTTGCCCAGTTACCCCAGCACCCAGTTCACTCGGCTGATGCTGTGGGCCCTGCTCAGACAGGGTAAGGCTGACTTCTCATCTGGTCCGCCCTCCACCCTCCATCGGGTCTCCTGGCTCTCTTGCCTCGATGGCCCAGCCTCCTCTCCCCTGGCCCCTCCGAAAGGATCTAGTCATGATGGCATCTGCCCCGTATGGCGCACAGCCGGGCGCTGGGAACACCCATTGTTCCACGTCATCTTCACGGCCAGGTCTGGAGGCAGGGCCCGGAGGATCACCTGCATCTCTAAGATGAGGGCAGAGAGGTCACGTGACTTGCCCCAGGCCGCTCAGCTGGCTGGGATTTGAACCCGCCGCCTGGCGGTGGCATCAGTGCTTTGAGTACTGTGGTGGCAGGTCCTGGCCCCATACTGATGGTCTGTTACCAATGAGAACACTGGGCTCCATGTGGCTCGCCTGGGCCCCAGAGCAAGGAGTCGGCCGGCGACCAGCTGGCCGGCACCTCTGGCTCTGGCTTCCAATCCTTCCCTCCCGGGTGCAGCCCCAGGTGGCAGCTGCAGGGCCACTGGCAGGCCCTGGGCCCACTGGCTCAGGGACCACATTCTCTCCCGGTCCAGGCAGGAAATGCATTTAGCTTTGTGGGCCGTGCATTCGCTGTGGCGACTTCTCCCTTTACTGCTGTAGCCCGGAGGGTGGCGGCCGTACGTACATGCATGGACGTGGCTGTGCTCCAATAACATTCATTTACAACCCAGGCCACCAGCAGCCTGCGGAGCCAGACTGCCAAGCGCCGCCCTCGGGGGCGCCTTCATTTCCACAATTAGTTTTATTCCGTTAGGTGAGGGAGGCGATCAGCACGGCTGTCCTGAAACATGAATGAATCTCAGGTCCCTCTAGAAATGGGTGTGGAGGTGGGGCGGGCAGACACCTGGGGAGGGGGGTGGGCAAGGGGACACAGAACAGGGGTGTTCCTGGCGCCTGGGCTCCCCAAAGGGGAGCGGGAGCTAGTCCCCGAGTCTCCTCAGCCAGGCCCACCCGTGACCTCTAATCGGAGCCGGGAGGGGGGGACCCTGAGGGGTGCCGCAGCTCTCACCACCCTGTTCCAGGTGAGAAAGCCGACCTCCAGGACCAGCCAGCCTGGGCTAGCGAGAGGGAACCGCAGGGAAGTTTCTAGCTGAGGTCCCGAAAGACTCAGACAGCCCCCCATCACCCGGGCTCCCCTGCCAGCTGCCCACTAGTCCCACCTCCGTGCTGGTCCCTCTGCCCAGGGTCTGCCGCCGGCCCCGCCTCTCCACCCTCTGTCCCCAGAGACAAGGGCAGAGCCCCCCACACACATCCCCGGCCATGCACCTGCTCAGGGCTGGGCGTCCCGGCCTGACCTGCCCGCCCTCTGGCGCAGACACCTTCTGGATGAACCCGCAGTACCTCATCAAGCTGGAGGAGGAGGACGAGGACCAGGAGGACGGCGAGCGCGGCTGCACCTTCCTGGTGGGGCTCATCCAGAAGCACCGGCGGCGGCAGCGCAAGATGGGCGAGGACATGCACACCATCGGCTTCGGCATCTACGAGGTGCGTGGGGGGCGCTGACGTCCAGCAGGTCCTCTCGCCTCCTTGCTCCCCGCCCACCCCTTCCTCCTTCCTCCTTCGCTCCTCTCAGCCCCCTGAGGAGCCCCCAGAACTGGAGAGGGGACCCCAGGCAGGGGGCGGCCCCTAGCCCGGGATATACCCGCCCCGGCTGGGCTGCTTGCTGGCTTCCTCCTGCCCGGGGCCCTGCACTCCCTGGTGGGAGGCGGGTGTGGCTTCGCTGTGGCCGGCTGGGTGATCTTAGCCAAGTCACTGCAAAGCTCCGTGCCTCAGCTTCATGCTCCACAAAATGGGGATGGTGCTCATGGCTTGTCGATGTTTTTGCTGGGGCATGAGGTTTTTTGTGTGGGATGGTGTGAGGATGGTGTGCCGATGCAGTACGACTGCTGAAGCTACAGAAGAAAGGGACAGAAAAGGCGCAGTCACCGCGGCGCGTGCCCGTGCACATCTGGGCGTCGGAATTAAGCGTGCGCTTCTGTCTTTGCAGGTTCCGGAGGAGGTACGTCTGGCAGGCGTCAGCCCCCAGCCCTGGGGCTCAGGTTCGCCAACACGTAAACGGCTGAGACTGTCGGCTCGGGGGTCTTGTGATGGGTGGCAGGGGCTGGTCCCTGGCCCCTCTAAGGCCTGGCGAGGTGGCTCAGGCCCCCGGTCCTGCTGGAGTGAGCTCAGCGTGGGGAACCTCAGGCTGCCTGCCCCAGGCGGGCAGAGGCCAGGCGTGGCTGAGTTCTGGGTGGACGATCTCTGGTCCTGGGACCACAGGAGGCTCTTCCTGAGCCCTGTGTGTTCTTAAAACGCGCCTGAAGGCCCGGCTGGTGTGGCTCAGTGGTTGAGTGCCGACCTATGAACCAGGAGGTCACGGCTCAATTCCCGGTCAGGGCACATGCCAAGTTGCAGGCTCCATCCCCAGTGGGGGGCGTGCAGGAGGCAGCTGATCGATGGTTCTCTCTCATCATGGATGTCTCTATCCCTCTTCCTCTCCCTTCCTCTCTGAAATCAATAAAAAGATATTTTAAGAAAATGAGCCTGAAGGGAAAGGTGGACCCTGCAGTGAGAAGTCGTGTAGACGTGGACCAGAAACCCAGCTTCCTGCCACGTGGACGCTTACTGTCCCTGAGAGTCACTTAGGACAGTGGTTCTCAACCTTCTGGCCCTTTAAACACAGTTCCTCATGTTGTGGTGACCCCCAACCATAAAATTATTTTCGTTGCTATTTCATAACTGTAATGTTGCTACTGTTATGAATCATCGTGTAAATATCTGATCTGCAGGATGGTCTTAGGCGACCCCTGTGAAAGGGTCGGTCGACCGCCAAAGGGGTCGCCGCGACCCACAGGTTGAGAACCGCTGACTTGGGGGCACGTGAGGTGCCTGGAGCATGTGCCTTGGAGGCCTCAGCGGGCCTTTGTCGCGTTGGCAGAAAGTCTGCTGTTTCCCTTAAAGGAGCCCGACGTCGCCGCTGTCATCCTCTTGTCTCCAGAGCGAGAGCCACGTGGAGGTGGGGCCCGTCCCGCCCTCCACGCCCACTTGTTTCCGTTTGTCCATCAGTTGGCCGGACAGACCAACATCCACCTGAGCAAGAAGTTCTTCCTGACGACCCGGGCGAGGGAGCGGTCGGACACCTACATCAACCTGCGGGAGGTGCTCAACCGCTTCAAGCTGCCGCCGGGCGAGTACGTGGTGGTGCCGTCCACCTTCGAGCCCAACAAGGACGGGGACTTCTGCCTGCGGGTCTTCTCCGAGAAGAAAGCCGACTACCAGTAGGTCCTCCCGCCTCCTGGCTCCCCGCCCCCGCTTCCTTCCGGGCCCGTCGCTGGCCTGTCCCAGGCGGGGCTCCTGCCTCTCTGAGCGTCAGGGTCTTCTTCTGCGACACCCGCCTGCTTGGAGGGGGTCGTGTGGGGTTGCTGGATCGAAGGACTTCAGTGTTGAACTCAGGGAAGCAGGGGAACCGGCCACATGGAGGACGTCTGTTAGACACGGGTGGTTATGGAGCAAATTGCAGAATCCGATTTCGCAGAATCATCACGTTGTTCTTGTCAGTTTAACGGCCAATGTCAGACTAGCTGCTGACATGGTCCCATCATGTGGAGAAACCTGGGGAGCCTTGAGCCCCTCAACTCTCCTGCTGTCCAGGGTGAACGCCCCTGACCCCTGCACCATGGGACACCACTCTCCCCCCGACCCCACCGCAAAGGTGTCTGACTTCCTGGCCCCAGGATGTTCACTCTGATTCCAATTGCCAGCACCAAGAGGTCCCTTAGCCTCTCTTCTTCGCGGTGGCGGCACTTCAGTTAGGACTCTCGGGGGCCTAGTTTAAGATCCAGGGGCCCGAGGAAGATGTCCCTAAGCCAAAGTGCCCTCACCCGGGAGCAGGACGGTGCCCGGGATACACTGACCACGGCTGTGCTCCCAGTAGGGTCACCCACAGGCTCTGCGTGGCCTGCCCGCTGCAGCCCCGGGAGCCAGCAGGCAGCGGCGTCTGTCGGGGGGTCTCAGCGTGAAAGATCCACGGGGCCCAGGGTGTTTGGATGAAAAAAAAAGGCGGTTCCCAAGGCCGGGGAGCGAGTTGTCCAAGTACCGGCTCCGTGGGGGGGCGCGGTGCTCTCTGATGACCACACCCAGCAAACAAACCAACAAACAATTCTCAGACTCTCCCAGCTGCTCGGCCGTCACTCTTTCTTGGGGCATCTCCACTAATGGGGGACGGGCCAGGACCCAGGGAAGAGAGAGATCCGCAGGCCCACCCCTCGCTGGACTTCACGTCCACCTGTCAGCTGTGGTTTCTGCAGCACGTCCTCCGCCCCACGCCCCTCCCAGTAACACGCAGCCTCCTTCTTTCCAGGGTGGTGGACGACGAGATCGAGGGTGACCTTGAGGAGGTACGTGGACCACCCGGGAGCGGAGGGGCAGAAAGGAACCCCAGGGTTCAGGGGGTCACAGCTGGAAACCAAGGCCTCCTTCAGCGCCAACCCCCCCACCCCCACCCACTGGGGCGAGTGAGGCCACATGTGCGTGGGGGGCTGTGCAGGAGGCCCCGGTGCTGGGCTGATCGGTGTGAGATTCTGGCCACCGCCCTCTCTGGGCCGCGCTTTCTCTATAAAATGAAAGTGATTCAGTGACAGGTCCTGAAGGGCTGGGACAGACGCACAGGCAAGGCTCCGTCCTTCCAAGTACAAAGTCGAGGGAGGAAAACACCACGGAGCCGGCGCAGTTTCAAAGGGCCCCGTGGGCTCTGCTCTCCAGCCAGCGTCCGATCCTCCCGTCCGAGTCCCGTTAGAGCAGCTCATAAACGGCCGCGCGGTCGAATGTCCGAGAAGCCGCCTATGCGAGACGTTAGCATCTATCTCAGTGATGGCGAACCTTTTGAGCTCGGCGTGTCGGCGTTTTGAAAAACCCTAACTTAACTCTGGTGCCGTGTGACATATAGAAATTTTTTGATCTTTGCAACCATAGTAAAACAAAGACTTACATTTTTGATATTTATTTTATATACTTAAATGCCATTGAACAAAGAAAAACCAACCAAAAAAATGAGTTCGCGTGTCCCCTCTGACACATGTGTCATAGGTTCGCCATCACTGGTCTATCTCCTTCCCGCGTAGTTCCTGCTCCCGCTCATGGGTTTTCCTTTATCTCAACCCCCGAAACCTCACAGTCCAGGCCGGGAGTGAGGTCGAGAAGGGCCTGTGGTGGGGAGGGGAGCAGGCGCCTGCCCGTCACCTCAGGGGACCCGCTGTCCCTCATTTCTGTGTCTCACCTTCCAGCTCAATGTCAGCGAGGACGACATCGACGACGGGTTCAGGAGGCTCTTCGCCCAGCTGGCCGGGGAGGTAGGTGTCCCCGGACCTCTGTCGTGCTCTGGTTCTCGTCCTCAAGGCGACTTCAGGTTCAAGGGGAGAGGAAGGCCAGCTGGCGTGGCTCCGTGGCTGGGCGTCGACCGATGGACCAGTCTGATTCCCGGTCAGGGCACATGCCCGGGTGGCAGGCTCGATCCCCGGTGCGGGACGTGCAGGAGGCAGCCGATCCATGGTTCTCTCTCATCATGGATGTTTCTATCACTCACTCCTAGTTCCTTCTTCTCTGAAATCAATAAAAGTATTTTTTTTAAAATAAGTCAGTAAAGAGGAGAGTTAACAGACTTAACTGAAGCCGGGCGGGAGGAATTGCAAATGGAACTCAGGTTCCGCTCGGGTTCCTGCCCACGTCCCCCGAGACCGCTGCCCGCCCCGGGCCCCTCAGCTCTGCCTCTGCTCCTCCTGCCTCGATCGCCCGGTGGCTCTTTTATTTCCTTTCTGTTCCACTCCAACCGAGACGTGGAACTCGGCCCCTCATTCTTGATTTCCACAAAGATAATTGGGGGGATGGACAATGCAAGACACTCACAACGGGCATTGGACTTCCCTTTTCTTACAAAAATCCCTCAGCCATGGGGGCCTCCCTTGGCTACATAGTTCTTCAGCCCGTTTTCTTCCCACGACTCCAAGAAAAAGCCACCTTGGATATTTTTTTAATATAAATTCTTTTTAAAAAAATATATTTCTCATTTCTTTATTGATTTCAGAGAGGAAGGGAGAAGGAGAGAGAGATAGAAACATCAATGATGAGAGAGAATCACCGATCGGCTGCCTCCTGCACGCCCCCCACTGGGGATGTGCCCGCAACCCAGGCATGTGCCCTTGGCCGGAATCAAACCTGGGACCCTTCAGTCCGCAGGTGGACGCTCTATCCACTGAGCCAAGCCGGCCAGGGCAACCACCCTAGATCTTCATCAATGGGCTTGCCCCCAGTTACTCAGAGGAAGGGGGTGAGTGGAGACGCCTGAACCGCTCCACGGAGCCCTGAGAAAGTGCTGGGCCCGCCCTGAGGGTCCTCAGGCCGGACCAGCTCATGGGGAGCCAGGGCCGAGGCTGAGAGGGCGAGGAAGGCGTGCTAAGGGGGAGGCGTGGGAACTAAGACCACCAGCGAGGGAGGAGTGGAGAGTTGATCTCTATTCCCCGTGCGGAGCGGGGATGACCACTGAGAGTCTGTGTTAGATCTGGGGTTGGGCGCGGGGGCCCTGTGAGAGGTGCACACGCAGAGACCCAGCCCAGACCTGCTGCGTGCACGGCTCGCAGGGCTTGGCGGAGCGGGTGTCCAGGGCACGTGGATGGCTCCGTGTGCCACGCGGCTCCCGGGACCAATAACCATGCCCTGCTTGCATGCCCACAGGATGCGGAAATCTCGGCCTTCGAGCTGCAGACCATCCTGAGAAGAGTTCTCGCCAAGCGTAAGTCTCCCCTCCGTGCAAACCCCTCACCCGCCCCTTCCCCTGCGGCTGCCTTGTCACATCTGGGCTGCTGTGCCTGCACCGTCACGCCCCCCTCCCAGTGGATGCCACCCCCGAGGAGTGGCTGAGGGGGTCCACGTGACGTGATTCTCAAAACAACAAGGGTTCCGGGGCCTGGAAGTCACAGTCACTTCCCGGCTCCCACGGCTCACTGGCTTTGGGACCTAAACCAGGTCATAGAACCTTCCGGACTCGATTCCTTACCTGCTGGACAGTCACGTTACTACTTACCTCTTAAATGAGTAACGCGTAGAGCAAGCATGTCAAACTCAAAGGCTGACACGGGCCAAACAAACAAGGCCTAAGTGTCAATGGGCCGCAAGAAAACAAAAGCTTCCGTTTTCACAGAAACGTAGGTTTATTTCGATAGAGACACGCTGAATACAAAGGGCTGAAATAAAGGAGTCATCAACATAAAATAATAGAACATTTTAATAAAAGTTAATATTTTTTTCCTGAATGTTAACTTACCAGACACTGAATGACTGCACAAATTAATAAGCATGAGGCAAATAAACCTATTTTTCTCGTTCTCCGAAAGCGAAATATTTCCCGTTGCGCACACCAAACAAGTCAGTCCAAGACGAATGACGTGGCCATTGGCTGCTAAAATATTTGCTGCTAGTGTTAGTGGAGAGAAATGGTGCGCCTGCGCGTCAGGGAAATGAATGCAACACGATGACAGTAATCAGTCATTAGCGAACGTTGTAGTTCGTTAATAATTATGTATAACAGAATATTGTAAAGATTAAGTTACAAAAGTTTTATTAAAACGTTTCTTACATACCGTTATATTGGCTGGGCTGCAAAAATATTTGTCGTGGGCCGCATGCGGCCCATAGGCCGTGAGTTTGACATGCTTGGCCTAGAAACTGCCTAGCAGAAAGCCCGCACCCCAGAAATGGTGGCTATTGTGGTGAGTCATTGGCAACAAAAGGCTGAGCGGCCCAGACGATGGGAGCCGGGAAGCACCCCAAGTCCCTGCGTCCCCTGGCCGTCCTTAGTGGGAAATCACTGATGGACAGGCATCGATCAATAATCAGCCAGGATGAAAAATAAATGGACCGTCTTATACTCAAACTAAGGGGATGACGTTAAAAGCTGCATCTAAATGTGTAAGTGAGCCTAAGCCGGCCCATTTCTCACCGGGAGAAATGTCCCTTCATTTGAGCCAGTGGCCAGGCAGGCGACGTCAAGGCCCCAGGCTTCCGCAGAGAAGGAGCAAACTGGACAGAGACCCGAGGGGCTGGAGGGCCAGGCTGCGCACAGCCTTATATAAGCAGGAAATATGCAAGGACTGATCGTTCACCTCCCCGCTGGTGACCAGTAGGGGGAGACACACACACACACACACATACACACACACACACACACACACACACACACACACACACACACGGCACTGACATCGCCCCCCCACAGTCAAGAATCCTTATATAATTTTTCTATTATTGTAGGGATAGAAACATCAATGATGAGAATCATTGACTGGCTGCCTCCTGCACGCCCCGCACTGGGGATCGAGCCTGCAACCCAGGCATGTGCCCCGACCAGGAATCGCACCGTGACCTCCTGGTTCATAGGTTGACGCTCACCCCTGAGCCATACGGGGCTGCTATAACCTGACTCTCCCAGCTATGTTTCTGCCCCTCAGGTGATCACAGGAGCCGTGGGCCTTTGGTAAGATAGCAGCCCAGGAGCAGGGTGTGTGTCAGAAGGGGTAAGCCTGGGTCAGACATGGGCGTGTGTGCTGCAGGCCTGAGCGTCAGCCCTGTGGGCGTCCCCAGCAATCCCTGAACTAACCCCGGAGACGGAGACAAAGTAGATCCTCCTTTTGGAGCCCAGAGCCCAGGGCCAGCAGGGTCTCCGGAGATACTGGCTCCCGCCCTGTGGTCACCAGACCAATGGGCAGGCCACCAGACCAATGGCTGTTAGAGCTCCGGGAGTCACAGCTCCCACCAGGGGGATGGGCCAGTCCTCCCCCGCTCCAATCTGCAGGGAAAACAAGGCGGTGGTGTTTTCCCCACGGCCGCCAGGCACCGGTGAGGTCATAGGGCTCTTCAGACGTGTGGCCGCAGGAGCCACGTTGACTAAAGCCTCATTGTTTCCACACAGATGGAGGGTGGGGGTGGGAAACCAGGCCACTTGGCCTCCTGCTCCAGCCTCCCCGCTGCCTCTGAGCTTGGGACCCCCCTCCCAGCTGCCTGGTGACTCCTGGCTGCCCACACCCCACACACAGCCCCCTGTCCACGACCCACACACAGCCCCCTGCCCACACCCCACACACAGCCCCCTGTCCATGCCCCACACACAGCCCCCTGTCCACGCCCCACACACAGCCCCCTGCCCACCCCGAAAAGGGTTGGGCCCAGACTGGCAGCTTTGAGACGGGTTAGGTTCAGTGGTTCTCAACCCTCCTAATGCGGCCACCCTTTAATACAGTTCCTCATGTTGTGGTGACCCCCAATTTCATTGTTACAAATTGAACATAATTAAAGCATAGTGATTAATCACAAAAACAATATGTAATTATATATGAGTTTTCCCATGGTCTTAGGCGACCCCTGTGAAAGGGTCGTTCGACCCCCAAAGGGGTCACGACCCACAGGTTGAGAACCACTGGATCAGATTCTAACCTTGAGGACGTGACAGAAACGGTGGGCTTCTCGAACGCCAGCACCAAGGAGAGGGGACCCGCCTGGGAGAGAACGGCGTCCCAGGCGGCTTCCGGGCCTTGGGGTTCTCACTGGGCCGGGCACAGGGAGGCTCGGAAAACGCCTGCGGCAGACGGTCCGAGTAAGCCCTCGGCCCAGCCCGGCCTCCACGAACTCACGTGCCCCCACTTTGCTTTTCCACGCGTGAGTCTGCACCAGGAGCACTTCAGGACGCAGTCGGTCATCGTTGTTTTACTTATTTTAAAAGCACCTGTGGGCCTGGCCGGCTCAGGTCAGTGGATAGAGCGTCAGCCTGTGGACTAAAGGGTCGTGGTTTCGATTCCGGTCAAGGGCACGTACCTCGGTTGCAGGCTCCTCCCCGGCCTGGGCCCTGGGGCGTGTGCAGGAGGTAACCCATCAATGTGTGTCTCTCACATCGACGTTTCTCTCTGTCTTTCCCTCTCCCTTCCACTCCCCCTAAAAACCAATGGACAAATGTCCTCAGGTGAGGATGAACCGCCACCAGGAAAAGCACAGTGGGAGCCCCGCTTGCCCATAGCGAGCACACAGAGCAGGCAGGCGTCTCTGCACTGTCCCGGGCCGAGCCAGTAGCCAGATGCGCCACTTCACATCTTCCCAGTGGCCACTGTATCCAGAGGCGCCGAAACAGGACCCTGCCACCGTGGTCCTGGAAAGTTCTCTCGCCAGTGCGGCTGCAGGAGGTTTTCCTGTCTCTTACCTTGTCTTCTAGGCCAAGATATCAAGTCGGATGGCTTCAGCCTGGAGACCTGTAAGATCATGGTTGACATGCTGGATGTATCCTTTCACGCGTCCCCGAGAACACGGGCCGGGGAGCTTGCCATTGTCACCTTGCAGAGAGAGAGCCAGGCACGCTCCCGCCAGAGAGGCCCAGCTGCTGCGTGGGTGTAGGACCTGTTGTCACGAGGGGACGTGTGGAACTTCAGAGGAGGGAAAGCCCAGGCCCCAGGCTCAGAGGGCAGTGGGCGCGTTCCTGGGTCTGGGGCAGGACACTCCACGGTACGCCCACCCTCCTCTGCCCCCCAGCGCTTGGGGGCGTTTCCCAAGCAATAGTGTTTCCACTTCTTCCTCCAGGAAAACACACTTGATCCTTGAACAGCGAGGGGCACCGACCCCCCACCCCAAATCATGGAAAATCCTCGTGTAACTTTCGACTTCCTCAAAACTTAATTACTAATGGCCGCCTGGTGACCAGAAGTCTGACCAGTACCATCAACAGCTGATGTACACATTGTGTGCGACAGGCATTATATACCATACTAGAGGCCCGATGCACGAAATTCGTGCAAGAGTAGGCCTTCCTTCCCCCAGCTGCTGGCACCGGCTTCCCTCTGGTACCCGGGACCCGGGCTTCCCTCCCAGCCCAGGCTTCATCCGGAAGGTCGTCCGGAAGGATGTCCGGTCTAATTAGCATCTTACACTTTTATTATTAGAGATTCTTACACTAAAGTAAGCTGCAGGAAATGTTATTAAAATCATAAGAGAAAATACACTTACAATACTGGGCACATTTATTGAGAAACATCCGCATCGGAGCGGACCTGCCCAGGTGCAGTCTGTTGTTGAGGGTCACCTGTATTCCCTCAGCCATGGTATCTCTGATGCGCATGTGTCCTCTGGCCACGATGTTGTCGATGGTGGAGACGGAGCCCACCCTCCGAGAGCATCTCCTTGCCCTTTGCCCTCGCTCGTGCCTTCCCGGGCCCCCCGCCTGCCCCCGGGGCAGACTCATCATCCGTTTCCCGCCTTGTTCCTGATGCCCCTGAGAAGCGCTGGGCGGGGATGGTCCAAGCTTCTAGGAGGTTCTGTCTCATGGGCTCCCGGCGTCCACTGTGTAGCTCCCCTCCCAAAAGGCCTCTTAGAAATGCGCCCAAGAATACCCCCCGAATCGGCAAGCCACTAGAAACCACAGGAAGCCCCTGCATGTCACCCGACAGCTCCTTTTGGGAAGGATCTGGGGTCCCCATGGCACCCCCAGACCAGTCAGCAAGCGGGATGCAGGGAGCCAGCAGGAGTCTCTCCGGCCCTCCCACCCCCGCGGGCGGGGTCCGCCAGAGCTCCTGTGGTCCCAGTGTCCAGTGTCTCCTTAACTGAAGGCAGTCCGACGGCAGCGGCAAGCTGGGCCTGAAGGAGTTCTACGTTCTCTGGACGAAGATTCAGAAGTACCAAGTGAGCGCGGGAGGGCCGCCAGCAGGGCCAGGGTGGTGTCGGGGACGCGCTGTGCTCGGGCCTGAGGACACAGCGGCCCGGCGGGAGGGGCAGGAGCACCTCCCAGGGGCGTGAGCTCAGGATGGGTGAAGGCAGGCCCGGCAAATGCCCAGAGGCCAAGGCGAGGGCTTTGCAGGCTCAGTGGTCTGCTCCCCGCCTTCAGCTTGCGGACCAGAAACGGGGTTTCTAGTAGCCGCCCCCCAAAAGGCTGTGTGGCCTCTTGTGCTTGGGAATTCTAACGGCCCGAGAATACAAATAGGTAAGACAGGAACACGGGCCCCCGGTAGTTGGCTGCCTGGATGTGCGGGTTTACAAACCGGCTCACACAGACAAAATACCATCAGCTACTGGCGGCAGGAACGGCGATTCTCCCGACGGGGCGGGGGCGCGGAGCTGGGAAACCTGCCCCCTCAGCACAGAGGGGCCTGCACCTGCCCTGCCCTGGTTCTCATAACCGTCTTGCACCTGCCATTCCAGAAAATTTACCGGGAAATCGACGTGGACAGGTCTGGCACCATGAACTCCTATGAGATGCGGAAAGCCTTAGAAGAAGCAGGTGAGATTTGATGATGGCGCTTCCTTTTGCCTCGTTGGTAGCGTGTGTGACGCACACAACACAATACGCGGTTTGGTGAGCGGTGAGCTAAAGCAGGTGCCCATTTACTACAATCCCATCCCTTTCATCCCCCGTGAAGGCCGATGGGTAAAACCAAACGAGGCCCAGATGCTCTGCCCACGAGGCCGCCTTGCGTCTAAGTCTCCTTCTGAGAAGCCTGGTGGGTCCAGCCGGCAAGGCCAGCTCTCGGCCGCGCCCCCAGCTCCCCCTTTGGGGTACAGGGCTGGTTAGGCACACGTGGGGCGTCTCCACGCCTCTTAGGGGAAGTCCCTGGCAGAATGGGACACGTATAAAAGGGACACAAGCCTGTGGGAGACGGGTGTTTGGGGGGACAGGACCATGTGAGATGGTTCACTGCATTAGCAAAGACCCCAAATCGCTGGCTTAAACGAGATGCATCATTTTCTCACTTAACCACCCCCCAAGCTGAAGAAGTTCAAGGCCGGGAGGGTGCCGCCTGCTGTTAGGGACCCAGAAGCTCTGTCACCAGCCCTTAGCATGTGGCCGTGGGCCCCCGGGTGGCCTGCCATCACACCCCCATCCCGAAAGACACACAGGTCACTGCACACACGTCCCACGGCCGGAACGTGGTCACCAGGTCCCAGAGGGCTGCGAGGGATGCTGGGAAGTGTGACCTTGATCCCAGGCAGCCAGGACCCCTGAACAAATCTATTCCTGGAGGGAAATCATATTCGTTTACCAGGAGCAGCTTCTGCCACATGCATCCAGGCAGAACCTAGTCGCTGAGACGACGCAGCGCTGAACAAACAGGAGAGGCAGGGGCTCACCCCCTGGAACAGTGTGAGCGTGGAAGTGGGAACAGACAGGACAAGTCCTCCCTGTTGGACAGTGAGGAGCCAGGCAGGGTGCAGGGGGACAGTCTGGAATGACGGTCGAAGGCCCTGGCTCTGCAAAACCAATCCGGCCTCCTCGGCGAGCGGCCAGGGGACAGGAGCGATCGTAGTTGCCATTTAAAGGGCCACGTCGGTCCCGCAACCTGTGTTCAGAGCTCGGGGTGCGGTCCCGTCCTGAGCCAGCGTCTGCTCGTCCTCTCCCCTCAGGTTTCAAGCTGCCCTGCCAGCTCCACCAGGTCATCGTGGCTCGCTTCGCCGACGACGACCTCATCATCGACTTTGATAACTTCGTCCGCTGCTTGATTCGCCTGGAGACGCTGTTCAGTAAGTGGCCGCTGGGGGAAGACGCGTGTCAGTCCCCACGCGCGAGAGCGGTCGCCTTCCACGTGGGTGGGCTCGCCGGGCCCAGAGGCCTGTCTGTCCAGTTGAGGGTGGAAATCCTTGTCTCGTTGGGGGAGGGAGGGAAGAAATGACGGCTTGGGAGATCAGTGACGCGGCTGCCAGAGGGGAAGGAGATGACGTGCCCGTCGCTGCCCCTCGCTCACGGGTGACACCCTGTTTTTCTCCCTCCCCAGGGATATTTAAGCAGCTGGACCCCGAGAACACGGGAACCATACAGCTCGACCTGATCTCTGTACGTACACCCCTCGCTCGGACGTGGACGGGAGGGGAGGACTGTCACCTGGGGGACGGAGACCTATGGCTGGTTGACATGCTGTCTGAAAGCTCTCTGTCTGCTGGGGACAGGCCTGTGAATGGGTCTAGGACCCCACGAGGCACTGTGTTTGCAGCCTTTCCCCAGCTTCTAATTGGCTCTAGAGCGCCAGGAGGCGCGCCTGGTCCCTGCTCCCAGGAGCTTCGCCCTGAGGCCAGCACTGGGTGGGGATGAGAAGAGGGGCAGCAGGTCCCGCTTAGAAACGCGCCCTGCTAACCAGCAAGCCTGGGCCAGGGTGCTTCTAGAAGGAAACCCTGTAGATGAAATCCAAGTACATTCTTAGAACAGATGGACTTAGAATAGCTGCTGAGAAAAATCACTTTCCTCTCCGTCTTCCCCCTTTTAAAATAAACAGCCCAGCCGATGTGGCTCAGTGGTTGAACGTCGACCTATGAACCAGGAGGTCAGGGTTCAATTCCCGGTCAGGGCACATGCCCAGGTTTCGGGCTCCATCCCCAGTGGGGGGCGTGCAGGAGGCAGCCGATCCATGATTCTCTTTCATCATTGATGTTTCTCTCTCTCTCTCCCTCTCCCGGCCTCTCTGAAATCAATAAAAATATATTTTTTTTAAAATAAAATAAAACCCTTCAGTCTGCAGGCCGATGCTCTATCCACTGAGCCAAACTGGCTAGGGCTAAAAAAATACATATATATTTTGTGTTTTTTTAAAATATATTTTATTGATATTTTTTATAGAGAGGAAGGGAGAGGGATAGAGAGTCAGAAACATCGATGAGAGAGAAACACCGATCAGCTGCCTCCTGCACACTCCCCACTGGGGATGTGCCCGCAACCAAGGTACATACATGCCCTTGATCGGAATCGAACCTGGGACCCTTGAGTCCGCAGGCCGATGCTCTATCCACTGAGCCAAACCGGATAGGGCCTAAAAATATATTTTAAAAAATAAAATAAAATGAACAATAGTAACTAAGCTTCCCTCAAGAAAGTACTGTGCTCCCGTGTCTGGAACCCCAGCCAGGCCCACTTCTGAAATGCTCATCAACCCGAATTAAACTGGAATGCCAATGCCACACAATGCACAGTGTCCTCCCGCCATCCCCAAGACAGCAGCCTCTCCCCCATCCGGGAAAGAAGCCAGATCGGGCACGCTTTCATTAGCGTCGGCTTCAGCTGGCATGCCCGTGCGCGGGGAACCGAGTGGCAAGGGCTGGGTCGGGGGGCAGTGCTGGGGGGAACGGGGGGGGGGGGGGGCCGGGGGGATCAAGTCCCCATGGACCAGAGAGGAGTTAAGTCCTAAGAAGGCAACTCTTTTCCTTGAGTTTTGAAACCTAGAGAGCGCCAGCTATTTCTAGAGAAAGCGCTATCTGACTGCCTGATGCATCCGCAGTACCTTTAGCCGACCAAAAGGATGCTTAGCTGGTTACAAGTCACACAGACTTGCTTAGAACGCAGTAGCCTGGGAGACAGCCCTACCCCGAGATGGCGATCTCACGTGGAGGCCACGCAACTGACACAACGTGCCATCTACTAAGTCCGGACACTCGAGCCCCTGTACCGTTGTTGCTGGGAGCCCTACTCCTCCCCAGCTCCCACCCCCACGCCGGCCGGCTGCCATCTCGGCCCACCCTCCCCACTTCCCAGGGAAACATCTGTCCCGGCTCCCCTCCTGCCCTCAGCCGCCCCTTCCACAGGCGCCTAGAGCTGCCCACACCCTAGTCTTTGCTGAGGATGAGAAACATCCCCTCGGTTTGCAGTCTGCTCAGCCCGGCTGCAGGTGGCATCACCTGCTGACTCTGCCGAGTCCTGCTCTCCAGGCCCATCCAGCCGGTTCGGTCCGGATCCCTATTCGAGCTCCCAGAGGCTCCAGTAAGAACCAAGGTTGAAAACCACTCGTTTAAGGGAAAGCCACACCCCAGACAACCTGCTGATAAGGCGAAACAGCGTGAAAGTCCCGGGTGGTCGCTCCGGGGTGAGAGCGTTGGCCTGGGCACCGAAGGGTCTCGGGTTCGATTCCCGGTCAAGGGCACGTACCTGGGTTGCAGGCTCGACCCCCAGGCCCAGTCAGGACAGGTACAGGCGGCAACCAATCGAAGCGTCTCTCCCACATCGATCTCTCTCTCCCAGCCGCCCTCCCTCCCTTCCAGTCTCTCTAGAAATCAATAGAAAAAATACCCTCAGGTGAGGATTAACAACAACAAAAGCCCAGATTGAAAATGATAATCCAGATGCTGTCTGAGTCGCACATTACATGTGTCTCATTCAACCCTGAATATAATTCATGACCATCTGCTTCAAGTATCAGCTTTTTACTAACCTGTGAAAAACTAGATTCTAGAAATCAGGTAGAAAAAAATGTGAGTTGGCACACTGATATCTTAACCCTCGCTCGGCTTTTCTGGTACCAAGTCAGTCCTTCAGAATCATCTACAGGTAAGTTGCCTTTCATTTTAAAAAATAGTCATTGAACTGATTTCTTTTCCTTCCTCCCAGTGGCTCTGTTTCTCAGTACTTTGAAGTTATACACAAATTTGCCTGAAGACTCCTCGTGAAAGGAAATCAGCCACGGACTAAGCTTTCACAGAGAAACTTTTATCCGGACCTCGATTATGGGAACATTTACTTAAACCGATGATTACAGCCGAACATAACGATACCATTTGAGATAGGAAAAGATTTGCACATTAGATTAAATGCAAGCGAGTCGCTTAACCCTCGACCGGCTCGAAGAAAGCTCTAAATCTGTACATAGGATACACTTTTTACTTTTACACACGGTCCCTTTAGAGCAATATTAAATCAGGTAAAAAATAAAAATAAAAATGCAGGTGTTTAACAGCTGAGCAAACATTCAGTCCATCTCAGAGGATACAAGATCCTGCTGGGAATGCTGAAAGCAACTTCCAGTTCAAAAATGCAGCTTCGACATTTACCAAAGAGCAGCTCAGGGCTCACCCGATCCCTTAAGTAAAATCGGAAATACTAGTACGATGGTCAACAGGGGATCCTGTCAAGGCCCCTGGAGCCGGTGAGAACGCCCACCGCCGTCGCTGGTTAAACAGGAGGCGGTTTACAGGACACCGATTGGCAAACAGTAAGTCTGAGATTCGAGTCCATGTGTATCCTACACTGAGCGTTAAAAATACCGAAGGGAGGCCACGCGTGGCCGCGGACACAACACGGGACCCAGGCGTCCAGCGTGCACACCTGTTGTGATGAAGACAAAACAAGCTGTTTGCTGCCTGCTCAAGCTCCTGCACTCAGCCACCTCCAGCGCCGCGCAGGGGAGTGGGGGGTCGCGCAGGGAGTGGGGGGTCAGGGCGAGGGAGCCCCGGGAGAGAGAACACAGCTCGTTCCTCGGCTTCCCCGGGGGCTGCGCTAACACTATGGGAATGCTGCCTTGTTGCCTTACCTGCCGAATGTGCTGTTAAATAAAGAGTCGCCTGGCACTGCAGTGCGTGCTGTGCTTCCTGGAGGCGTGGCGGGGCAGCCTGCTTCCCCTCCGACCCGGGTGACCCCGACTCCCAGGTGGGGTTGTGCAGGACACGGAAACCAAGCCAGAAGGCAGCGCAAAGTCCCACATTTACTTTTATTACAACTGTTTTCAAAGTCAGCTAAGATCTTGCCAAGTATTATGGGTAAGTCTGTAACAAGTCATTTCCAAGATACAAAAGGCAATAAATATAGATTCAAATGTGGCCTAAAAACAAGATTCCAAACCTAATTATCTGTAGTGTAGCTTGGTTTCAGTATTTCAAATATATGCATAATTCTTAAAATGCTACAAGCACGTGTAACAAAGTCACTGCTCACTGGCTACCAACCGCTCTTCACTGACAGTGCACGGGCGTGCGCACCTTCGAGCCTTCATGGGGCCCCCGAGGGCAGCTGGTGCTGGGGCCATCAGAGGTGGCCCAGGGTGGCCCGTGATGGCCCTGGTCCTTCCCGTGGGGGGACAGGCACAGGGGCAGGTGCTGGCAAACTCCAAGGGTCTCCCAGGAGCCCGACAAGGGGCCCTGCTTCTTGCGGAAAGAGGCTGTCGCTGTGTCTGAGTGCTCCTGGCACGCCTGTCCCCGCGCAGTGAGGTCATATCCGCCTAAGCTCCACTTCCTGGTGCCGCCGTCCTGCACCAACAGGGAGTTGTTCCATCCTTCATTTCTTCCAGAGCATTCTCACGGCTCTCACGTTACGGCGTCATTGAAATAAGTCTTGTGAGATTGTGCCCAAAACAATCCTATGACTTCTTAGTGGTAACAGATTAATTCTTCATTAACTACCTTCAATCAGGTTTCAGGCCAAGCTCCTCTGTCTTGGTTTAATTCTCGGGTACAGCTGTAAGAGAGTTTACAAAACGTTTACATACGTACGAACATGGGGGAGAACAGCTCAGGAAATATGGGGGTGGGGGTTGGCGGGACAGGTAAGAAAATTAAAGAAAAGGATTCCTTCTGCCTTGTGAAGCCCCCAGAGTTGCGCGAAGACGCAAAGATTCACATGTAGCAACTCTCGCATCAGGGACACTCAGAAGCCACAGGGCCCCTTAGCAGGCACAACGCCACGGTGCTCTCAGCATGAGCTCCATCTGCACAGGCTGGCGCCCTGTGAACAAGTCTGGCGAGGATGCCGCCGGCTGCGGTGACCTGCAACATGCTATGTCCCGCACCTGAAGCTCCCATTTCAAGGGAAACGTAAGAGATTCACGTCTCTTTCAACTTGATTCACGACGGACACAGCTCTGTGTCACGGGACTCCGGGCTGTCAGGAGCGAAATGCCCCGACTACAAGTCTACAGATCGAGGAGGGATAAGTGGAGTGTTTTGTTTTAGGGTTTTGTGGGTGTGTGTTTTCCATAACAAGAGCTGGAGAGCAGCGTGTATGTGAAGGTCACAAGATCCCCCGTCGGGAAGCCAAGAGCAAGTCAAGCTAGTAATTCAACTGGCGGCCGAACAAAAGCCCCCCTCCTCCTCTCCCTCTCCTCTCACAAAGGGGAAAAGGTTTTACTGAAAGAAAGGAGTCAGACTTCCAGCCAAAACTGAAAAACTAACTGCAGGATCCACGTTATATAAAGGGTTATTTTTCTCTCCGAGAAAAGATGTGTAGCCAACACAATTTTCTAAACTCGTAGCTGAGTCTCTGGCTAAAAATTCAACATGTATGCGGTTTTCTTTTTAAATTTCCAAGAAACAAACAGAAGAATGTGGTGCGGAGGCCACTTCGGTCCAGAGGAGATTTCCCAAGGCCTAAGTGCAGCCCGTGATTCCAGAAGCCCCGAGCCTCACGCACGGGCAGACCCGCGTCTGGGCCACCGCTTCCCGCTGGGAATCACCGCCCCCCACGCCCCCCCTCGAGCCGCCGCCACAGCACCTCTTTGTCAGGGACTAAAACAAGACCCAAATAAGCAGCCAGCTCTCGGGGGCCGCGCTTCTCTCGGGTAAGACACGGGAGAAGTCGGTGTTGACTGGCTGGGGTTTGGCCGAGAGACAGTGGCGCTCAGACACGAATTTCTCTGCTGCTAAGGACTGAGCAGAGCGAGCGGGCTTGGAGGAGAGCCCTCTCCGTGTTGCTACTTCACCTGGGAACTCAGAGCCTTTGTAAAGGGCCCCATGCCTGTATCTTTTCACTCCACGATCCTCTGTCATTTATGTTACATGAAGGAGCGCTGGCTGTTGAATAATAAATCTTGCATCACAGGCAGCGTGGGGACGGGTGAAATCATTCAGGCTGCACAGCAGACAAGCAACAATGGAGAAGGGAGAGCCGGGAGGACAGGCTGGTCACCAGCTGGCCGGCCAGGCCCCGGCCCGAGTCACTTTAACCAGCTCGGCCGCAGGGCGCCAGACAGAGGCTGGGTCAGGGCCTCGCTGCCAGTCAAAGCTCTAAGTGGGCACAGGCCATGTCTGCCCCACAGCTGATGGCGATACCAACAGATCCACCTCCCAGCCACTGTCAGCACCTGCTCTACCCTCAGCCTCCCCACCCGCCTCCCGCGGCCCCGGCCACCCAGGTCCCAGGGCTCGGGGCACCTGCCCGGAGTGGGAGCCAGGGCTGCTGACCTGCGTGCTGTTCCTTGTAGGTGACATCGCCCTTCCCGCCCTCAGACTCGCCTACTTCCTCACCAACAGGCTCTGCAAGCACTTGTACCTTTAAGCTGTGAGCTCAGTCTCTCAATTAACGCACATTTCTCTGCCTGGTTCCCACGTCCACAGGCCCCAGGTCCCAAGCCCCAGGCGCACACCGTACAGAACACGGAGCCTGTGAAGGAGGCTCCTGCCTGGTCCACCAGGAGTTCCTCCCCCTCTTCCCTGTCCGCCCCAGCCTCCTCCCCGAAGGCCCTGCTGGGTCTCTACTGAGGGCGGCCCCCCTTCGTGTCTTCTTGGTTCATATGATCTTACTATTTTCTGGTTTTTATGAAACTTAAAATCAAGCAGCAGAGAAAGAACCAACAATCCTGTTCGCTAGCAGAGCTGCAAATCCCGATTTAAACACTTTCATTTCCAGTGGCGTGAGCTCGCTGCCCATCAGTGAGCCTTTACTCCACCTGCACACGCAGACAGGCCCTGACCTCCAGGCCCGGCAAACGTGGAAACGTGCACTTGGCCATCAACAGGAACCACTGGAGATGCGGCTTTTCGTCTAAACCTGTGACCGTCGGCGTTTCACATTCCATGTCCCGTGAGCACAGGGCAGCCGGCTGCACTGCGCCCGTAACACGGGGGGTTTTCACCAAGCCCCCCTCCCTCAAAGCCTCGCCCGGGCCGGGAACTCACCCCCAGCAGGTTGCGCGGGACGTAGCCCTCCTTGTCGTTCAGGCGCGCCCACCACCACTCCACCTCGTCCTCGTCCTCCCGCCGGAGGACGGTCATGCAGTCTCCCTCCTTCATGGGCAGCTCGTCCTCGTTCTGAGGCTCGTAATCCCAGAGCGCGTAGATGACGCCTTTGTTCATGATGCCCATCTTCTCCTGGACGCCTGCAGCGGCGGGAGACACGGCACAGGAAGTGAACGTGGAGCGGGCCCCTCGCACTTCTCCCTTGAACACCCGCACGCAGAGTCCCGGGCAGGGAGGGCGGCCGCAGAGCAGAGGGGACAGACAGACGAGGTCCCTGCGCTGCCGGCTCTAAGCTCACACACTGACCACCCCTGAGCACCTCCCCACACCAGTCTGCCTCCCCACACACAGCCTTCTGCAAGCCCAGGGGTCAGAAAAGAACTGCCACAGGCGAGGACAGGAGCGCGAGCGGCAAGCCGTCCCCTCCCAGCCGACCCCTAAGCACCAGGGCAAGGAACTCGGGACACTGCCTTTTCCGCTCCCTAAACCCCGAGCTGACAGAGGGAAAAGCAGAGTGTGTATCTGTTAAAGGGGTCTCTACCCATTCCCAAGTGGGGAAGGATAAAGGAACCATATATAACATACACTGGGATGCAGAATGGGAGAAAAGCCTGCATGCAGTCAACTCTAGAATAATGAGACTCCGAATTCTAAGACAGTGAAATCCACAAATTGGGGAGCGGAAAATCCCGCAGCACCCACTCTGTAGCAGAGCTCCTCCCCAGCCCCTTCTCCAGCCCTGCCCTCCTCCCCCTCGGGGTGCTGCTTGTGAGGGGCATGGTGAGGGGTAATGGTCCTTACAGGGCAGGCACAGATTCACGGCGTGCTGCACACACGTCACTCGACGCCTACGCACCGTACAGAAACTGGGAGCACTGCGTGTAGCCCTCCTCCATCTCCTCGCACTTGTCCGCGGCCGTCTGCATGTCGCTGTAGGTCATGGCAAACACGGCGGCCCCCGACTCCACCAGAAACTTACACACCTGGACGTTGTTGCAGGAGGCAGCGCAATGCAGGGGGGTCCTGTGGAGGGAGACAGCAGGGGCTGGGAACGGTTCTTAACTGAACGGCACCTGCTGCGACCTGGTATCGGGAAAGGAAGGTCTTGAGTCTCGTCTACTAAGCCCCGCCTTCCGAGAACTCTTCACAGTTTCCTTTAAATCAGTTACACGCAGACGCCGAGCCCATCAGAGAGCCACAGCCACAGAGGAACACGTCCGAGTGCTGGGCTGCACGGGCTGGAGCGGGGGGACGGGGAGGAGACCCAAGAAACGAGTGAAAGGACATGAAACCTGGGTAATAACCTAAACCAGGGTGAGATGTATATAGTTGGATGCTCTGAAGCTCCAGCCTATTATTCTGCCAGAGCAGAGAACACGGTCTTTTCATTACAGACCTTTACTCGGAACATGTGCCTCGCTGTTAATGCCATCACCGACTCTCTCACCAGCACGGCCAACGCTTTATCATGGACCACAAGCGACCCCAGGTTGACAGGGAGGCAGCGCTGCTGCCCAGGCTCAGAAGAAGGGCTTGAGAAACTTTTAAAAAATATTTATTTTTAATTGATTTCCGAGAGGAAGGGAGAGAGATAGAGGGATAGAAACATCAATGACGAGAATCACTGATTGGCTGCCTCCTGCACGCCCGCCCACTGGGGAAGTGGGGGGGGATCGAGCCCACAACCCGGGCATGTGCCCTTGGCTGGAATTGAACCTGGGACCCTGTAGTCCACAGGCCGACGCTATCCACTGAGCCAAACCGGCTAGGGCTAGGGCTTGAGAATTTTAAGGAGGCCCTAAAGTACATAGGATTCTGTTTCTTTACCCTTTTTCTCCCTCCCCTCTTCATTTCGTTCCTCTTGGGTACACAGGTTTAAAAAAGTGTACCCCCACCCCCGATCCAGACGCCATCACTAACAGTGTGGTGACTATAACGACAGGATTTTTCAACTCCATGTTTTGTAATAGCAGGAAATTATATATAAGCTGAGCTCCCAACATGAAGGGAACAGGATGTTATCACACATTAAGGATTTGTTTCACAGTTAGATTTTTAAAAATGGACTTAGATATGCGGAGTTGCAAGGAAATCTCACCACCCGTCGCTGTCAGCAGCATTTACGTTCACACCAAACTGCACCAGGAACTTCACAATCTCTGTGTGGCCGGCGCACACGGCGTTGTGGAGCGCCGTGATGCCCTCGTCGTTGGGCAGGCTCGGGTCCTCCACCTGGAACAGCAAGGAGAAGGTGGGCGCTACTCAAGTGTCCGCACACCTGAACCGCCATGATGTCCTGGCTCTGCAGGATCCTGAGGCCAGAAATAGTCTCGTGGCCTTTTTAAAATCATAATTAAAACCTACAAGAGCCAAGAAAATGACGCCTAGAACAATTCTAGAAATAAGACAGACAAAACAGCCACATTAAGTAGGCACTCGCTATGAAAAGGTTTTTTTTCTTCCCAAAAATTGAAGTAGAAACTGTATCCGTAGAGTCATTTTTGTTTATTTACCCTCCAACTTCCCACCACAAATTAGTGTCTAACTACAAGTGACATTTTCCATGGAAAGAAAAAAAGGCCAACTAAAAATATTTTAAATTGTAGGCTTCTGAACAGTAGGGACCACGTCTATAATTTAACAGTCTAGTATAAATCCACACAGGAGCAATTGTTAAAGGAGGGCAAGGACCCCCTGAGAAAGCACAGGACTCGAGGGGCCTGGTGGAGACTACACTTCTGCATCATCGAACACCCGACAGTCGCACCTTTAGAACAGCAACGCCTGCTTGGGAGCAAGTTCAAGAATTCCTCTCAACAACCCCACCTCCCCCAAAAGAAAATTTAAAAATACAACTTCTCTACTGCAGTTTCCTGATCAGAGCTTTAAAGCAAACTATAATGCAAGGTCGTGTTTAAGAAACTAACCAATCATACCTCATAGATAATCCTCTGTACAAGGTCAAACTCTCCCTCCAGAGATGAATCTAGAAGCAAAGCCAGGGGGTTGAACTTCACCCTCATTCCGTGGGCAATTCGCTCGGAACCAGTCTTCCGTAAGTTGGTCCTTTTGCCCTGCAGAAGAAAAGCGTGGAAAATGAAGGATCCTGCTCTAAGCAAGAGACCGACAAAAATGGGGAGGAGTAGCATCTCAGCTGAGTTGGTAAAAGACACAAAAAATGTATTCAGCACTTTTTATGAAAGTACCACATTATCCAGAAGAGTATATAAACCACAACAGCTTAACCAATGTGCCCATAGAACGTGACTTTCCGGAACCGAGTGAGCTACATTTGGTCGTCCCTCCAGCAGGAACTGAGCTAAGAGGACCATCTCCAGTGACAGGCAGGCTGGTTTTCTGTCAAGTTCAAAACTAACCAAGACTGGCTTTTAAATTACCTTCCTAACACGGTATAGCAAACCCCACGGTTCAACCGGGCAAGAGCTAACCCTAACCCTCACCCTCTCCCTTCCTCTCTCCAAAAATCAATAAAAATATTTTTTTAAAAAACACAATGCTGTTTCCTTCCCATTTATAAGGTCGACTCTGTGCCAAAGGAATCCTATCTAATAAAAGAGTAATATGCAAATTAACCATCACTCCACGACAAAGATGGCAGTGCCCATAGTGACTGGGGCGGGATGCTGGCGGCGTCACCCTGGCAACGCGAGCCCTGCGTCTGCACCCGGCCACATGGAGGGAGGGAAGAGGCTTCGGACTAGAGGCCCGGCGAGGGATGCTGGCGTAGTTGCGGGCCGGGCTGAGGGACGCCCCCCCGTGCACGAATTTTGTGCACCAGGCCTCTAGTTATAGAATAAAAAGGCAAACTGCGAGGCACATGCGCTGCAGTGGGCAGTTTACACACCAGCCTTTGCAAATGGCTGCACGCACTTGCTGCTGCTTCGCTGAGTTTCACAATCAGCCCCTAGAAGAGCGACAAGGCTCCTGAAGCATCACGAGCACCGCGTGACTTACCGGAGGCAGCGACACCTGCCCGGTGATCTCAGGCGGACGCAGGCTCCCGGAGTCCTCCCCCAGCCCCTCTGGCTCCCCCGAGGGGTACGGTGGCGGAGGGTAGGGGGGATACTCCTCCAGGTACACCTCCAGCAGGTGGGGAGCCTCTGGATTCGGTTCTTCCACGTTATTCGGGAAACTCGGGCTGGTGTCCGGGGCGCCTTCGGACACATAATCCAGGCCCAGGGGAGGAGCTGGCACGTCACTGCTCGCTGTGCTGGCGTGGGCGGCCGCCTCCGGGGACACGGGCTCAGGGGCCAGAGAGGCCACCTCCTTCTCCGGCTCCGCGTGTGCGTACGGGTTCTGGATTTCCACGGGGCTCTCGGGGCCGGCGGTCACTGCGCTCGCCGTGGCCGGGTAGGAGGGCACCGAGATGGTCTCCATGGCAGCGATGGTGGTCCGCTGGTACAGGAGCTTCTGAATGTTCGGCCCGTTGGGACCCTCGGGCTCTGTGATGGAGCTGCGCTTCTTCAGGGGCCGGGGGGCGTTGGACAGCTTCTTGCGCAGAGCTTCGAGGTCAACGTCGCTCTGGTTTCGGTAGGGGTGCGACAGGAAAGGCAGCAACTTGGTGGGGCTGAGGGGCCGAGGAATCCTCTCGTTCTCGTGGCTCTCCGGAACGGAGGAGGCCGGCTCCATGTCAGACTCGGGGCCGCCGGGTTTGCCCTGGTTCCCGGAGTACATGCTGTCCAGGGGCTGTGGGTTCTGGGCAGCGATCACAGGCTTGCCATAGACTAATTGCAAAAGGAAAAAAGCTCTGATTAATGTCAGCTAAGCAACACTGGCAAGTCACAGCCATGGCTAACCGTAACGAAGGCCTCTCTGAATCTCATGAAAGCGCCTCCACGGGCAGCTGCCTGATCGTCCAGGCACCAAGGAGGCATCGGCCGCCTATGTGAACAGAGCCTCGTGCGGCGCACACCGCGGGCATCTGTCCCGCGTCCCCACTGAGCCCTGCGTCCTCAGCGCTGAAGGAGCCCGCAGGGAGTGGGAGCAGATCCCTCAGGCAACCACCACCAGCAGGCTCTGTCTCTCCTATCGGTTTTATTCCTCTACTCCATGTTTCGTAGTATTCACTACTATCACTGCAGTGGCTGATATTGAGCAGAAACTCACATTTTAAACTGCCAATCAAGACCAAAAGCCACGATGAAACAAAAATCACAGAACAAAAGCATCGGTCAGACGGGGACAAGTCCCTTGGCTTCCTGGCGGGTGACAGCCCTGGCGGGACTGCCGTCACCCATGTGGGTGAAAGGAGGGGAGGAGCTTACCGCTGGGGAAGTGCGGCCCTCGGGGCTGCGCCTTGGTCAGGGCGCTCTGCACGGCCTGCTGGAAGCTCTTGCCGGGCGCCTGGTGCTGGGTGTACATGGAGTAGATGGAGCTGGCCGCCACCGTCTGCGGCCTCCGGAAAGGGGGCAGGCCGGCCTCCTTGGAGGGCTGCGGCGTGAAGGGCCGCACAGCCGCGGCCGGTGGGCTCTCCTGCTTGGCGCCGGGCACGAGGGCTGGGTCCTGGCCGCCCGACGGTGCGCCGGGGGCCAGCAGGCCCCTCTGCGGCTGCCCCGCGGGCTTGGGCTTATTTCCCACGGACGCCACGGCTGCAGACAACTGCGGAGGGTTCCCGTCAGGCTTCATGTCTGACGGGGACGCACTGGTTTGTCCAAAATAAGGCAAGTTGATCTGTTTGGGTTTTGATGGAACAGGAGGTGGTACTTTCCCATTTTTATTTGCAGCCTGTAAGACACATAGACACACACACACACACACACACAGTCAGTAAAAATACTGAGCAACTGGGTACACGGATGGTCGAGATGACCTAACTGTACAGATGCAAGTAAACACTAAACCTCCTAGCTCCACACGTTTAGTCATTCTCATTTAACTCCTAAGTCTCTGAACTGAGGCGCGTTTACGCGGGCTCAGTAACGCAGAGCAGTTCCCGCGAGGAACCACCCCCTCGTGCCCACTTCCTGTCCCGGCAGGTAACTGAGCAGACACATTGGATGTTCTCCTTTGCACTCGTGTTTCTTAGAATCACATGAACTACGGCCCAGAAGCAGGTAGGTCAGCTGCCCCCGTCGGTGACACCGCACACAGACTCGCTGCCCAGGACAGAGGCTGCGTGTTTCCTAACCTCCCAGGTGTCGCTGCGGCTTCCTGCCCCCCCACCTCGCCCTGTACCCCTTCTAACACCAGCGGGGCTCTACCCCTGGACGTGCCCACGCCTCGTACCTGCGCGTCCCGCAGGATGTCCTCGCTGCTCTGGTTCTTCCTCAGGGACCCGAAGGCGGGGGGCGCAGCCGCCTGGTCGACCGTGTCAAACATCGAGAAGGGACGCACTTTCTTCTCCTTCTCCCTCGGCGGAACCTCTCCATCATCAGCTAAAGAAAACAGGAAAAAGGAAATCACACTGATAATCAAACTGTTTGTAATAGAATTTCTTACTCACGTGTCAGTTTCCCTCCTCCACCTCTTTGGAACCCTGCATTCAGAAATGCTTCCCTAATTGTAAGTTAAGTTGATTGAGAAATAACCCAGACACGACAATGCTGGCTGCCTTCGTTCCCTGGCTAAGTAAGGGTGATCTGCAAATAAACCCCACCCTGCCTTTAACTCTAGAAACAACCACCTGAAAAGAACTCCCAGCACCTTGAGAAGCCCAAGCAGAAAGCTGGGAGCAGCGCCGAGCCTCACCTGGGTCGGGCGCACTCCCGGCGCCTTTCGGGGCAGAGGCAGAGGCCTGGCTGGGGAAGAGGTCTGCGTGGGGACTCCAGTCGGGGCCGAGGGAATGGACTTTAGAGCCTAGAACACAGAAAAGCAGCCACAAATAACCTGGGTTCTAAGGAGGTTTTAATGATTCCTTTGCTGCTAAGAAGTGGAATCTCTAAAAAACAGCTTTAAATTTCAGAGTCAACCATCCCAGCAAACTTATTTAGCAAATGTTAGGGTGCATATTTCTAATTTAAAATGTCCCCCCTCCCTCAAACAATTTAAAACTGATCGTGGCAGTGGAAAGCCTGCCAACAGGACACACGGCTCTCCGCTGGGTAAGAAAACATCACCATCACTCCCAGAAAACCATTTCTATTTAGCAGGCCGAGGGCTCCCTAACGACACCAAAAGTATGCACTGTAATAGGCAAAAAAATAAAACTAAGCCATAACTTGGACTAGTCTTGCCCAAATCAGCGTATTCAGGATTTTCCTACACCAGGACTGACATTTCAAAGCTTTTCTTTTTTCTTACAGAAACAACACAAAAGCACCTCTACAAAAACTCCCGAGGTGCCACACTGCTTCACAGTGGCAATTACGGCAAAGTAATAACTAAGTGAGCAAAGGCATGCACATGATAGTGGAATGAGACAATACTGTTATTTTTTCTCCCGTGTCTACCCTCCTTTTCCACGGTTCTCCCTTCATCTTCCTCCCATTACAGACCTCGGCTAGCCCCTCCCCATGCGCTGAGGACCACCTGGGATGCAAAGCTCACTAACTCAGGAGCCTGTTACTCACACTTGCCCTCCCAACAGGTTGACCTTGACCCTCGCATCATCAGCGGGCAGGTACTCAAGCACACGCACATGACTTACCAACAAGGGACTCACCACCTCGCGCTCTGCAAAGTCAACACCACTAACCACGTCTATGGTGTTCTCACACAGACAGTTGGTTCCAGTTACTAACATCCGATCACAGTTTCCTTATTCACAAGGAGGAATTCAATACAGTTTTCGGATTTGCCAAAACAGTACATTCTGCTTCCCTTCCTGACCAGAACTGTGTCACTCAGGGCTAAGAACCCTACCTCCCAGCAATGAATACAGGGGATTCTTAGAATCTGAACACGAACAGGGATAGGAAGACGTTGTTGTAAAACTCCCACTTGGGAAACGCAGCATGAGGACGGGAGGAGGAACTGTGGCAGGACGTGCGTGTGACGGGCTTTACCTTTAGTCTGCGCGGCGGCCCCGGATCGCATGTTGGGCAGGGTGTGGACTTTCATGGGCCCCTCCGCAGGCTGCATGGCCAAGGGTCCATCGGGCAGCGCCGGCTTCACCAGCAGTTCCGGCCGGGAGGGCATCCGGGGCATGGTGGACGACTGGATGTAGGGACCGACGGCAGCCACGCGACTCGGCGCCGACACGCCTGGCGGAGGCAGGTTCCCATCAGGTGAAACCTTCGGAGGAAGCACAGGTCCTTCAGCATCACAAGGCAGATGGAATCCAGCTCAGAAAAGGCTGGGAAGTGTTCATCGTGTTTGACAATCAGCTCTAGCCAGAGTCTACTAGAAACTCCCAAACAAAAGCACCGCTCAGTGTGCTCTCCCCCACCCTTAATTACAAGTCTTAGCGAGAAAACCGGAGCCACGCAGGTCGGAACGGCAACAGGCACAAGAAGATGGGTCACGTCTGAGCAGCTCTGAGCACCGCCTCTCTGCGGAGGGCACAGCCAGCACTGACCACAGAGCCGCTGCCAAGAACTGACCGCCCGGGGCTGGCCTCGCCCCCTCCTCCCGCCCTCAGCCCAGCAGCCCACTCACGGGGAGGTTCTCCTTCTGCTGCAGCGCCGCCTTCTTCTTCCACAGCCGGTCCCGCAGCTCATTCACACGCTTGTCCATCACCGCCACCTCTGAATTGCGCTTATTCAAACACTCCCTCTGTTGTTGCAGCTTGGCATTCTGCTCCTGATTCAGTTTGTTTCTTAACTGAATAAAACGGGGGACAACAAAAAAAGGTAGTTAAAGAGGAGGAAGAAAAAGTTCTTACACGGAGTCCCAGGGGCCACTGTTACATAATTTCTAAAAGTGTAAGGTCTCCTGCCCACTGCCCGCCCCCACCCCTTTGTCATCTCAAGGTTTCTAGTCCAGTGGAGACCACGGGCTGTGGCTTGGAGGACTGCCTCTGATGGCCAGTGCGAGGGACTGGACAGTTTATTCTAGAAGCGTCGGGGCTTAGGTCTTCCTCCCCTGCATCTCCTTAAAGCAGCAGTTCTCAACCTGTGGGTCGCGACCCCTGAAAATACATCCTGCATATCAGATATTTACATTACGATTCATAACAGTAGCAAAATCACAGTTATGAAGTAGCAACGAAAATAATTTTATGGTTGGGGGTCACCACAACATGAGGAACTGTATTAAAGGGTCGCGGCATGAGGAAGGTTGAGAACCACTGCAAGGAAAAGACGTGGAAATCCAGCACTTTCTGCCACGCAGGACGACCATCTGTGTGGCAGGGGAGGCGGCTGTTGTGTGTCCAGCAGCCCAGGGTACCTGCAGCTCCTTGTACAGCCGGTCGAGCTCGGCCACGGCGGACTGGTTGTCATGGTGGCCGTCGATTCTGCCGTTCTTGAGCATCTCAAGCTGCCTCGTCAGCTCCTCGACTTTGGACATGGCCAGGACGAGCTCCCTCTGCTTCTGCTGGAACAGACTGTTCATCTGCTCAATTTCCTCCACTGGAAAGAGGAGGAGAAAAAGCAACAATCATTGAAAAGAAATGTAAGAATGGACCACTTCCCAGCGAGCAGCTTCCCAGTGAACTTCCTAACAAAAAGGAGAGGAATTTTCCAGACGTGTCCTAGAGCTAACCTAGGTGTTTTGTTGTTGTTTTTAATATATTTTCATTATGATTTCAGAGAGGAAGGAAGAGGGAAAGACAGAAACATCAACGACGAGAGAGAATCATTGATCGGCTGCCTCCTGTATGCCCCCTACTGGGGATGGAGCCTGAAACCCGGGCAATGTGCCCTGACCGGGAATCAGACTGTGGCCTCCTGGTTCATAGGTCAATACTCAAACAGGCCCACACCCAGACACATCATCATTAAAATGCCAAAATTTAAAGGAAAAGAGAGAATCTTTTCAAGGCAGCAAGAGAAAAGCAATTTGTTACCTACAAAGGAGCTCCCATAAGGCTGTCAGCCGATTACTCATCAGAAACTCTACAGGCCAGAAGGGAATGGCATGATGTATTCAAGGTAATGAAAAGCAAGATCTGAAACCAAGATTACTATATCCAGCAAGGCTATAATTCAAAATAGATGGTGAAATAAAGACCTTCCCAGAAAAAAAAGGGTAAAGGTAGATTATCACCACCAAACCAGCACTGCAAGAAATGCTGAAGGGACAGCTGTAATGAGAAGAAATAGAGAGTGAGAAGCATAGATATAAAAAATTAAAATGGCAATAAAAAATACCAATAATAACCTTAAATGTAAATGGATTAAATGCCCCAAGAAGAAGACATGGGGTAGCTGAATGGATACAAAAGCATGAACCAATTATATGCTGTCTACAAGAGACCCACCTCAGAACAAAAGACTCACACAGGATGAAAGTGAAGAGATGGGAAAAAAATTCTCCATGCAAATGGAAAAGAAAAAAAGAGCTGGGCTAGCAACACTCATATCTGACAAAACAGACTTCAAAATGAAGGTGTCACCAGAGACAAGAAAGGTCACAACAACTCAATTCAATTCAGAGGAACCAGCGACATCAAAGTTACAGTGAATTTTACTTTCAAAACCTTCTTTTAAAGTTACCTACATACAGATCTCATCTTATTCCTCTTTCCTACAAGTTTATATAAACTTCCTACACCGACGTGTTCAACGTGCAGCCTTTAGAGCCGAGATACCCGACGGGGCCACTCACCGAGCCTCCCGTTGCTCAGCCTCTTCTGCTCCACGTGGCCTTTGAGCGCTCTCACTTTCTTCAGCTTCGCCTCCTGGTTCTCGGCGATTTCTTTCAGCCTCCGGAGCTTCTCCTGCTCGGCAGCCTGCTGCTGCTGCCGCTGATCCTGCTGCTTCAGAAACTTCAAGCGCTGTTCCTGAAGGTGAAAGCCACCAGCAGGCCGTGTCACTGTCAGCAGGGATCCCACCAACCCCTAAATAATCTAACCCAGCGGTTGGCAAACTGCGGCCCCTTGAGTGTGGCTCTTCCACAAAATACCACGTGTGGGCGCGCACATACAGTGCGATTGAAACTTCGTGGCCACACTCAAGGGGGCCAAAGAGCCGCATGTGGCTCGCGAGCCACAGTTTGCCGACCACTGATCTAACCAGAACCCCGAGACACCGGGGCTGAGGGGCACCAGCGCACTGCTCTGCCCTGTACACGCCATCAGACCAGCGGGGCCCACCCCCAGAATCCCTTGGGGGTAAGATCCAAAAAGCAGGATTCCTAATCCAAGTGGTTCTTGTGCAGCAAGCAGGGAGCCTTGACCCCGTGTTCACGCACCACAGCTACAATGTAAGAGGGAGCTCCTGAAGGGGGGCCGTTAAGGAAAGCTGTTAAGTGACAAGCTGTGGAGTCAAATTCGGGTTCAGACCTGAGCTCGTCGCTCTTTAGCTAAGAGACCGCGGCCACTCACATAAGCTCACCGCGTACACAGTCTGTTTCTTCATCCATGAGATGATCAGTAACTACCTCGCGGGGCCCCGTGAGGATTACATGAAACGTGAAATGTAACCTCTTTGTACTTTACATCATTAATACACACTCAATAAATACACTACCTACCCCCGTAGGAAACTGCACTGTGCAGCTTAACATCTTATTTCTATAATATTCAATACTTCAAGTAAACTGATAGAGATACACAATCTATAATGAAGGGTAAACGTCACAAAATGCCTAAAACATATAAGTCACACAGAAATCGTTTCAAAGTAAGACGAGAGGTTTCTTCGGTTAACCTTCTTATTTGAATTTATGTCTTTACTACGCAGGGAATGAAACCCTCACAGCGTCACCTAGGAGCTTGTAAAACACAAAATTTCAGACCCAACCCAGACCTACTGAATCAGAGCCTGTATTTTTCGCAAGAGGCTTGGGTGAGCCACGTGCGTATTGAAGTTTGAGGAGCAACGAGACGCATGACTCTGAGAAAGCGGGGTCCGCCTGGGGAGGAAGCCCAAGGGGAATCCCGCAGAGACATGGGTGTGGTGAGCACTGCCTTCCAGAATCCTGGCCGTCACGTGACTTGCTGTCAAGCCACCACTGCCGGCCCCGCTGCAGGGAACTTGGTCACGGAGGGACGGGCCAGCTGCGGATCCTGGGAGATTAGGCCAGGGGCGGGCAGACCACAGCCCCCGGCCAGTCCCGCCTGCAGTTTCCCTGGGACACGGCCACCCCTCGGCTGCCTATGGCTGCTTCTTGCTACAACTGCAGACTGAGACAGCGCGACCTGCGGAGGCTAAAATGTTTCCTTGAGAGCCCTTCCCAGCATCTGCTGCCACCTGCTCCAGCCTGGAGGCCGGCTGGCAGGAGAGCCAGCAGGGAGCCAGTGTGACAGTCATGGGGAAGCGCCTGCTGGCTCCCTCGGTCAGGCCAGGACTGGGATTGGCTTGTGGGTGGAGAACGTCTCCAAAGTAAAGGCAAGCAGCCTGTTCTGGGCACGGGAGGGGCAGCGTCAGCATCAGTAGATGGGACATTCCTCGTTGAAGCCACGACTCAGGGCAAACTTAGCCCACAGCTCCTGCTGGCCACGTTCAAGGTTCCTACCACCGCCCTCTCTCACGGACACCGACACAGCTTGTCTTTTCATCAGAATCAGGGGCAGGAAGATCCCGAGCAATGGGATGATCAAGGGTCTCCACCAAAAGCTGGAGTGAAGAGGAGAAGGGACCGCCCAGCAGGTGACCTGGGGTTCAGAGCGCACGGTCCTGTCTGTGAGGTAACCGGCGTCACAATGAGGGTGCGCTGTAAACGGCCCGGCGCGCACACTGGCATGGCGGCCTGTCAGGCTCTTCACACAGACATTACCTTCGTTGCCAGCATCTGCTGCTGGGCCTCTATCTGCTGCTGCTGGCGAGATGCCATTTCCTGGAGCTCAGCGAGGGTCAGATCCATCCGAGGACTATTAACCTAAGAGAGAAAACAACAAGCCAGGCACATGGGTGAGCGCAGAGACTGCGCACGGAGGTCTAGCTGTGCTATGGATAAGCCTCACCTGAACCAATCAGGCACCATTATCCAGCCATTTTCCTTCCATGATATTAAAGAGACCATTGATTTTCTACATCAACACCTCCCCCCCGTTGACTTATTACTAAGTTAAGGTATAAAACATACTAACATACAGACCAATACTTTTATTTTAAATAAAATAAAATATTTTATTTTAAAACTATTTAAACTTAAATAGTTTCAATAGTCATTAACATAAGTGGAACAATTTAGAAAAACCCTGTTCTGTAGTTAATTTATATCAGAAAGTAGTGTTTGATCATGTTAAACGTGATGGTGGGGCATTGGCGGCAAATCTAAAATAGTCAACAGGACCACCATCAAAAAATATGACACTGGCATTAAAAAATGTCAAGAAACACTGGATCATCAGGAACAAAAGGCAAGATGTCTACTCCCAAAACATCTACTCAACATGGCCCTAGAAGTTCTAGCATTGCAATAGAACAAGAAAGAGAAATAAACTGTATCCAGATTGGGGAGGAAGGAGTTAAGCTGTCATTAACTTATAGACAACATCATCATCTGTAAAGAAAATCATATGGAACTGTAAGAAAACTATTAGAACAATAAGTTACTTAGCAAGATGGCAAGATAAAAAAAATCAATATGCCAAAAATCAATCATCTTTCTATATATCAGGAAAACCAGAAATTGAAAATTTTTTTAACCACTTAACTGCCATGTGTCCAAAACAGAAACCATCCCCACATGTCACAATATTTTGAACTTAATAAAAAAAAATCAATTTGCAATGAGTATTATAAAAATAAGTATATTACTCACAATTAGGGTGTTCTTGAATATTTTCAGCTGAAAATTCTCACAAAAAATGGTTTTAAAGTTGGTCAGGGCTGCCACTTAGGGAAAACATTTTTTTTATAGACCCAAGTGGCGTGTGGGGAAGGTCCGACGCTTATGGCGTGCAATGGTTATAATGGCATACAAAATAGCAAGTACTTAGGAATAAATTTAACAGGAGATATGCAAGACCTATATACTGAAAACCTCAAAACACTGCTGAGAGAGAGAAGACCCCAACAAACGGGAGACAGAGCCTGGTGTTCATGAATGGAAAAGCTCAACACCGTCAAGATGGCGATTCTTCCCACACTAACCTACAGACTGAATGGACTCCCAACCAATATTCCCGCAGGCTTTTTGTATAAACTGACGAGAGAATTCTAAATTTCCATGTGAAAATACAAAAGATCTAGAATAGCCAAAACAGCCTTGACAAGGCTGCCTGACTTAAGGCTTACAATGCTTGGGTAACCAGTCCAGTGTGGTACTGATGCCAAGATAAACAGATCAATGGAAGACAAGAGCACAAAACAGACCCACACACGTGGGGCAACCGATTTTAGACAAAGGTGCAGGGGCAACTGAGTGGAGAAAGAATAGTCTTTTCAACAAATACAGATTGTACAACTGGATACCCATACGCCAAAAAGAAAACTTGAATTCTCACACCACATGGAAATGCTAATTCAAAATGGATTAGAAACCTAAATGTAAAACCTAAAACTACAAAACCAAAATTAAGAACAAGTCACAGACTGGAAAAAATATTTTCAAATCTTATTTCTAATCAAAGACTTGGGTCCAAAATATATAAAGAACTCTCCAATTCAATTAGAAAATAAATAACCCAATAAAAAAAATGAGCAAAAAAAGAAAAGAAAAAAATATGAGCAAAAGAGTTGAACAAATACTTCACCAAAGAAGATACAAATGGCAAACACATGAAAATATAGCCAATACTATTAGCCATTACAGAAATACAAATTAAAACCCCAATGTAATACCTGCTCACACCTATTAGCCAACATTAAAAGGACTGATCATGGCAGATGTTGGTGGGGATGTGAAAAATAAAGCAATAGCTTTGGAAAAGTTTGGCAGCTTCTTAAAAAGTTAACATACACCACCCATTTGATCCAGTCATTCCACTCCAGTATTTACTCAAGAAAAATAAAAGCGCTTGTCCACACAAACACTTGTACCAAATGCTCACAGCAGCTTGACATGGAACAGCCCAAACTGGAAACAACGCAAATGTCTACCAGCAGGTGAATGCATAAACCAACTGTGGTACATCCGGGCACTGCAACCCCTCTCAGCAACGAACAGGAATGAACTACTGGTAGACACAACAGAAGGATGACTCTCAAACAGTTATGCCGAGAGAACTCAGACAAAGAGTACATGCTGGAGAAGATTCTAGAAAACACAACTAACTTGTAGAGACAGAAAGTGGACCCACTGGTGGTTCCTTGAGGGTGAGGAGAGGACACAAGGGGACTTGGGGTGACGGGGATTTCCATGACCGTGGCTATGGTGACGGTTTCAGAGGTGTGTGCAGTATGTCAGACGTTCTCAAATGTGTATCTGAAGTGTGTAGTTTACTGCATGTTGATTATACAGCAATAAAGCTGTTTTTTACAAAAAATACCCAGTGAAGGGAAAAGATACATATTGTCAAGAAGCACCCAAATCCTGTTAATGCTTAAGACCCTCCTTGTCCTCCCTGTCAGCCGTTCACGGCCAGACCCGGGAAAAGAGGGAGCAGGAGCAAATGCCACTTCAGATGACCTGGACCCTCACATGAGGTCACTGCAGGTGGGAGAAAGGCCGTCTAGCCAATCCCCACAGCATCAGAAATCCTGAGCTCCGAAAAGAAGACGTGTAGGGTACCCCAAAGATGCTGCTGACATTCATACGCAAGAGCAAAAGCGCTGGTAAATAACTTCCCATTTTTCTAGAAACATGACAGCAGCAAACACAATCACCCCCAAACAAATGCTTCCTCACACATGTGCTCTACATGTTTTGTTCTGAATTGGTATATTCAGCGTCTAACTTCTTTCAATAGTCAGCATGGAGAGAGCATGAAAATTAACTGTTTCTATGAGATAAATATAAAATAACCTTGGAAAAAGGGCCATTCTTAATAACCCACTGAATAACAAATAACGATGAGTGAGCTTTAAAGGTTAAAAAGGCAGCAGTGCTGCGGGACTGCTTAGCAGGAGTAACAGGTACTCACCCCGTTCTCCTTCCTCCGATGGTCACCGGGAACTTTCACACCATTTCTCTTCAAAGTTGGGTCCTGAGGCCGTGGTCCACTCACTAAGCACAAAATCCAAAGCTAAGCATTAAATCAGGGTTGCAGACACTCCAAGTGCAAGTCCATTTCTTAGTTCTGTGACTGCTGCCCTTTGATATTTTAAGTTGAAAGGAAACTTCAAACAAAATCTTTTCTAATAGCGACGGCACTGAGGTCTCGAATTCAGCCTGTTTTGGGAAACCGATCTCGGAACAGTGAACAGTGAACTTTACTAAACGCCCCTTGCTGACTCTTCCCTAGGAAAGCTGCATGATTCAGAGACCAGAAGAGGGGGAAATGTAACAAAATAAATGTACTTCTCATTCTGGGTGAATCACACCATTCGCTCGAGTAGCTCCTCCTAGTTCTCCATTTAGCTCCTCAGGAGTGAAATCAGAAACGGTTTCATTGAAAGAATTAAGTGAGCATTAAATCAATCCGTCCTGTGCTCACGGAGAGTGTTCTGTAACGTACACAGGAAGGAAGCAATTGAAAATACAAGTGGTATTTTGAATATCTGGCTTATTGAGGGCATTTTGTGGTAATTCTTAAGTACTATGAAGTACTTCCCATTTATTTAAGTAAAAATCTTGCATTTTCTTAGTTTGGGAAAGTACTAACTGGAAAACACTGTATTCTATTTTGGCTAAAACAAATGTTTTAAGTCAAAATATATGGGTCTCTCAGCATCACTTAATGCATCATAAGGGAAAATAGTCTTAAACAGATACATCGTAAGAAACAGATCATATCAACAAAGAAAATTTTTTAAATAAGTGAAATTAAGCTAATATTTATACTTCCAGAAATTAGAAAGATTATTCAATTATCAAGAAATTTTAGAGTAAAATTTCTTTTGAATCAAATGTCTACTGAATCTGCCTAAAGCTTACCACAAATTCCCATGCCAGTAATACGATATCCTCAGACCCAGAGGTCACACCATCCCTAGTCCTAATGTGCTAGCTTTATTTATTTATTTACTTATTTATAACATATTTTTATTGATTTCATAGAGGAAGGAAGTGGGAGAGATAGAAACATCAATGATGAGAGAGAACCATTGATTGGCTGCCTCCTGCACGCCCCCCACTGGGGAACGAGCCTGCAAATTGGGCATGTGCCCTTGACTGGAATCGAACCCAGGACCCTTCAGTCCGCAGGCTGACACTCTATCCACTGAGCCAAATGGGCTAGGACTGTGTTAGCTTTATTTTTAAAACACTGCTCAATTCTCTGAGAAAATAGCTCCAGGAACCGGCCACACTATTTCTGCAAGAAAAATAAACCTCCCGTTTAGGAATGACTGCTGTCTTCGCTGCCTCACCAGTTCCTTCCTGGCCATGCAGTTCCATAGTTAGAGTACCAGGCGAGAGCTTTAAAAATAGTTCCACATCCATTCCGGGTCCCAGGTCCGGTGAAACTGGAAGACGACCATGGTGACAGCCTCCTAATCCGTAACCTCGCCGTCCCCACTAAGGAGGACACGGACAAGCAGCCCTGCTCTACCCCCAGTCAGACACCATGTGGCACTGGAGTTTGTGACAACGTGAAACAGCTCCCTCCCCTTCCGATCCTACTCTCATGTTACAGACACACCGACACTGCACATCACACTATCGCGAGGCCGTTTAATAATTCAGCCAGGACGACACGGGCGGACATTTGAACTGGCAGGTGAGTGGGTAAAGTCCAACTCCTTTCTTACAAGAGGATGCGTGCAGCAACGTAAACAAAGAACAAAATAAAAACGAGATGCAGGTGCCAGTTTAAAGCTACAGAAGAAGAACGCTTAGGGAGAAAATACGCGCTCATTTAAATGAGAGCCACGGGCACCAGTCACACTGCCAGGCATGCCAGCCGGCCTGGCAGAGATGACGCGAGCCCCACTCCTGGCTCGCCTCTGGGTGTGTGGCCTCTGACAAGTCACTGAACCCCAAAGTATCAGCCTTCTCATCTGCAGAGTGGAAGAGGCCAGACAAGTCAATGTGGAGCTCCTCCACGGTCTACACTTGGTAACTTCTCATTGTTGGGGACCATATGCATATCTGCATTAAAGCGATAAAACCGAGACTGCATGACATCCAGTGA